AACAACATTCCTAATTCAATGTCCATTTGTCAACATGGGGAAGAAGTTATAAGTTTGTTGGCTGAACAGTTGTCGAAAGATGCAGACCACCAGTTCAGCTTCATTTTTGGTTTAAATTGCACATTTGAATACGGAATTAAGATTTGTTAATGATTGTGTCGCCAAGGTAAATGTCCAATCATACATGCCACTCATACAACACATAAATGATGGCATGTTTATTGTAATGAATTGAATTGATTTGACTAAATTATGGTAAGATTAATTGCACAATAACTCTTGGATGCCAGTTTCTTTGGTGAAACCCAGTTAGTTTGATCTTAACCACCTGTTGTTACATGAGAAATCAAGACTTATGGATTAGTTGGTGGTTTTTTGTAAACTTTTTAAGAAACGGTTTTGAGCAAAAACTACATATAGTTCCCTAATAAAACTAAAAGATTTTGTTGCTGCCTAAATGATGATAAGTATTATTATGCATATTCTCTCAAGCCCAAGATCAAGGAATTGTTTGTATTGCCCAAAATTCCAACAGAAGCCGTTCTGAGATACATCAATAAATCATAGTAATAGTTTTATCTGAGTCAGTTTTTACAATGTAATTTTACAGGTTACATATATATTCAAGAAACAAAGCTCAAAAGGAGAAGGGCAGAAGCAAAAAGCAGCTTATATATGTCTTCCCCTTTTATCAATACAACATCTAAGCAACTGTAAAAAGATTCACATTTTCACATAACAATCCCTGATTTTTACCATCATCATTATCATCTTGTAATAGATAACAGTTATAGTTTATCAATTTTATGTCCCATAATTCATGAAAATAATACATGCAAATGTTTTGTTTTGTTAAAAAATATGTGTGGTGCATTGAGAGCTGGAGTCAGCCCCCTCTACAAATAATAACACAAATAAGACCATAAATTGCTTTCATTTTGATGCATATGAACCATACTATATCTGAGTAAGTTGAGACAAATTAGAATTGTCTAGTAGTTGCAGAAACTGTTGCAGAAGTATTTGCTTGTGTATCTTTAAATGTCAACATAGACACACATTTAAATTTCAGCTATATAATGGCAAATCTAGATAATGGAACAAAAGTATAATATTTTTGTTGACATTTGTTGAAATTAACCTCCTGACTAGCTGTTGCAGCTTTTCCATATGCCATAGTGTTATGGAAATAGTAGACATGCATTTTCAATGAGCAGGGAAGCAGCAAGTCACAGAGAACAACAAACAAAACCATAATTACCTTGATCTATCCGTTAAAGACAAATTGGAGAGGACAGCTATGTGTTAAACAAAAAACAAACAAACAACGTACAATACAATCTTTGGGCTAACTTTTCAGTGAAAAAAATTGTCACTCACTAACAGCAACTGCTACCAAATCGTGAGAATTGAAAATTAATTATAAGTATGTTTTGTGCAATTTTTATATGCGTAAGATGGTTTAGTAGAACCAATCTGTTACATAACTGCAAGAAACTTATGATATATGATTTCCTACTCTAGAATTAATAGATTGCAAAGACCGATAGCTTGTGGTAATTGTTACACAGAGAGTTTTCAAGTGATCTTCTTGATTTATTTAAGCCCTCCAGTCCCTAAAAAACATTGTCAGTATGAAAGAAAAATGTACTTTTAGAATTAATAACAATGTAACAAAGTTTGGCTTTTGGGGGTAGCAAATGTCACATGCTTCAGTGTCCAGTAGGTCACAATCCTGTCTTCTTAGTAGACCAGTATGCGTATCGTAAAAGTCTCAACTTTGAACTATGTCAGCTTGGGCTAAAACCGGCTACATGGTGATGAAGCAATCTCAAAGTCAGATAGGTGAAAAAGCCATGTTTGAGATCAACCACTTTAAAGGCAAGGATTTTTGTCTTGTAACCGCACCACAGAATGCTTTATCGGTCCCACTATTGTTCATCTGACGTCCGCCTATATTCCTTAGCTCTGGCTCTGTTGTTTGCTCAAGATATGGCCCTGTTATGCAGATAATCCAAGTGTGAAATAAGAAAGATTCTTAAACTTAGTTATCCGCTGGGTGACGCAAACTCTAGACCAGAGCTTTTGCTACCTTTGCGCAGTTCAGGGAATTCTGGAAATGGGTTCTGCTTCATAATTCCATAAATTTGAGCAAATCCCTAACTTTGGGGTTGGAACAAAGTACAATCAACCGAAACCAATCACAGAGCAGAATGTGCTTAGGGGGGTGCATGGTTAGTGTGATTCTGAGGTGCTGTAACCTGTCACGCACAAAGATCGTGCAGAATGTGGCCACAATTCACGCCCAAATAATGTTTACTTTAGTGTGTTTAGTTGAACTGAACGCGGGGCTGCCTTTACTGTTTAATTGGCAATAAATTCTTGACCATACGCTACTCTAGTTCTTTGCTGTGATTGGATGAATTCCACATGATCTAAACTGCTTTGTATAAACAGCTTGAACTACACTTCAAAGATAATAATTCAACCCAACCCGATATGTTCAGATCTCCTTGTCACTATATGCAGCATTTAAACTAACACTGAAGTAAGAATGTGAGTAAGCAAAGTAAAAACACGAGAATAAGCCTTCAACTCCTGCTTCTCATCCAAAATAATTGTCTTTACTGATGAAGAACACACTCTCAAAGGTTGGTCTCAAGTTCTCTAAATCCTGCAGTTCTTAAATGAAACAATAGATTGCTGATGAATAATTGCTGCTTGAAGTGATGCCGAATCCATTCCTCCCCGAATCTTGGCATGAAACTTCTTTCTGCTGAAAACTGCTCCATTGAATACTTTTGGAACTTAGCCCTTCTCTATATCATGAATATTATTAGGCAAACATCCTGATGTTTTATTTAGCTTCCAAATAAACTGCTCAAACAAAGTTAAATCTTGATATGCTTACAGGTTGTTCTCGAAAAACACAGAATATAATGAAACAACAATTTTGGCACAGAGAACCAAAAAAGGTATAACGATAATTAGGCACTCAACACAACTTTGTAATAAATAATAAGTCCCTTTATTTTAAATGGCTGACGCCCTACACATTTCAACACTAGATATGTATTGTCAGGGCAAAACAAAAAAGTATTCTTTTATGCAGTGAAATCACTCAGGGTTATAACAATCCACGACATGAGTGTGTTATATTGTTTCATGCTGCAGTAGAAATGAGCATCTTTGCAGGCAGTATGTTAATGTGTTGGGCTGGAAAACGCCCCATAGACTGAGGATAAGTGGGCGATCACTCATAAGTGAACGAACGGCAAAAGGTGAGTTGTCAAGTAAACTGTGTGAATGGGCATGACCACCCAGGAGCCAGATGCTGGGCGCTGGTGGCCAACACGCCCTGTGAGATAGACAATTAAATCAAGACCAGTGGAATCTATTGGCCTTCCTGCTGATGGCCCGCAGACGCACTCATTCAAACGCAGCACCACTTCAACCCTGGGTTATTTTTAACCTTGGGAAAAGCAGCCCGGCTGTTTCAGATTCATTATTGCTCAGTGAAAACATAAAGAAAATGAAAAAACTGGACGAATATTTTTTTTTTTAAATGCCAAAGCAAATAGGACCACATGGGGAGGGAGCCAATGTGATACAATAAAAGGGAAACAGTTTGGCGCAAGCAGTAAGATTATGAAAACATTAAGCAACAATTACCTTAATGAGAATTATTGAAGCGGCAAACGGTTACAGACAAACTGTGTACATCTGGCTTTTGCATCTGTCTGCACTGGTTCTAGCATCCCGAAGAGGGCCGGGGCAAAAACAAAGCATTATTATAAGAATATCTCACTGCGTGATGGAGACAAAATGGGATGTTAGTAATTGTCATGTACTGAGATGATTTCAAGGCTGGCATAGTGATGAATTTACTGCTATGGCCCTACTAAATGCACTGTCAGAAATGTTGAAGCTGTCTGTTAGAGAATCGAAGAGATGGGCTTTTCAGAGGGCAATTTATAATCCCCCTGTGTTAAGAGCTCAAGATGGATTGATATCAATTTGTAATGGCTCTCAAGGTTCTTCTGGTCTTATTTTGGGTGGTTTGAATAAAGTCAATACAGAAACACAGGTCATCACACCATTCAGCCCCTCTCTCTCTGCCCTGCTGTTTGGAAAAATTAAGCATGGACATTACAATTCTATAGTCGGCTGAAGAATTCATTGGATGCACAGTAATTAGGATGCACAGAGTTTTGTAATGCGTATCGCTTTTTCCATACCGGATGCTCGTACTTACTCCTGGTATCTAGACTTGGTGTGTCTAATCTCACAACAGAGTGGATTCTGCATCGTGCATGAAGCGGTATATTATTAATTAAGTTCTGAGAAGTGTAATCACCTAAATCAGAAGGTAACAGACTGAAATGTCAAATTGAATTCACATAGAATACAAGAGCAGAGTTAGCGGCTAAGTCATGATGCGAGGAATTATCTTACCAGCAGAAGAAGGCTCAAATCTCTGTAAAAATGAACAAAGCTGTATTGGTATCCGCAAGTATGGCCAAATAAAGTACTCCTGGGTTTCAATCAATCAATCTACAGGTTTGTTTGGAAACCCTGTAGAGCGCAATTTCACACAAAAAAACAAAACAGAAGAACCAGGTTGTATTGAGACATCCATAGATTAAAAAGTTGGAACAAGGACCTATAGTCAAGGTGTTATTTTCATGTTTAACCTACATATGCAGTCATCCTAAACATGTTTCTGTATATTACATACACAGCCATTCCAACGAGACATCACATTTATGAATACAAATGTTAAACAACCAAGCTATCCCAACATCTCTCTAATGGACAATCCGTGCAACTGTTTCATTAGCAGACTAATCTTAATTGGTCCCAACCCACATTATGCAAATGAATGAATAACAATTATAAATGATTATATACTTTATTATGAAAATGTGAAAATGGTGGGTAAAAATCTGTCCAACTGGCGATTGGCATGACTCACAATCTTACACATCCAGTGCATGTCATTAGCTCATGTCGAGGAGCATCCTTCCTGCAGAAAAAGAATGTGCAGTTTTAATTTTAGGAGGGCAGGCTTCAGGTGGGCATGCAGAGGCGCAGACGCAGTGTACAGTAACGTGGCTCTCTGCTGGGGGGCTGAAGATGAATGGGCCGGGCCTGAGTGGGGATGGGCCGCCTCCATAGGCCTGCTTGGCCTGGTGGAGCCCATCAATCATGGCGGCAGCGCAGGTCTGGGCAGAGCAGTGTAATGATGCGAGCAGCATGTGGCCGAGCCATCCCTGGCCGCTCAGGTGGAAGGTCTCCCTGTCCAGTGCTCTCTCAGCAGCTGCTCCTCCACCGTCATCCATCATTTAGAGGCACAATTCATACCCAGAAAGTACAAGGGTACTTTTTTGGATGCTTCAAATAATTAATCCCCATCAAATGTTTAAGGCTTGGGATGAAGGGAATAAAACACAAATAAAAGCATGCTGTTTCCACAAAGAACCTTTCTAGCAAACCAGCTATACGTCTTTGTAAGAAAAGACAGTCAATAGTCAACACGCCCGAGGTAGCGTTGAAGGAAAACAGGCCGCCAACAAAGAATCGAATAACAACATGTGCTGAGATTCTTAGAGGGACTGAGAATAGTGGGAAAAAAACCACAAGAAATCACTATTGACTAATAGCTGTGCATGAAGTTGTCATTAGGCGTTTTTATGAGTGTTGTACTCAGACACTGGACCACTTCGATTTCTCACTGAAGTGCATTAAAGGACATATTTATTACACATTATGTGCTTTATACCCCTCACACCAAACATATTAGCTCCTGGGCTGAAGGTGGCCTTGTGAGTCCAATAAATTCCACCCTCATGAAATATGACAGTAAAGAGTTTGATCATTTAGCAGAAAGCATGCTCTGGCAAAATGTTCACAGTAAAAAGAAAGCTATTGCTGCTTAGGTGGACCGTTTTCCGCACAGTAAGTAACGAAAATCAGCCACAGTCACCGCGTGCTTGCTTCGGCCCTCGGTTCTGTAGTCCTGGATCGATAGCTTGTCCGTCTGTGAGAGCGATCCCTCACTCAATGGTTGGACCTCAACTTTTTTTCCACTGTATTTTTTTATTAGAGATTTTTCCTTGCCAATGCAGGCGGGTGAAAAGGACAGTGGTGATGATCCAAGACACTGGACAAACTTTCTTATGGACATTTATCATCACTTTTTGGATCTGCTCTTTATGACCATATGCTCATATGGTGTTTTAATCTGCATTTTCTTGTGTTTGAGCTGTTTGATTCTCTGATCTGTGTTGGATGAATTCAACGGTTTTGGTAAAGAGTCCATCCGAGATTAACTAGTGTTGTGATTTAGGGCCTTTAGAAGAATATAATATTAATTGAATTGAAATTGAAACAAAACTGTTGCCACAAACATTATTCTTCAGCAATCCAATGTCAAATTAAGCATTTGAAAGGTTGGATAATTGCCTTTTGTTCTCCGATGAATACAGAGTTACGGAAGTCTAAGCAATTTCTGATGTAAACATTCAATTGGATTTTTAAAACTTATAACAGCAGATTTAAGGCAATGAATCATAGGATTTTACCATTTTGTTCATATTCTTTAAATTTTAGAAAATAAAACTTAAGACCTTGCCTTTTTAAAAGGATTCTACATGAAAAGACGATTTTCATGCTCCTCTGTAATTGATTGACTAATCACCCACAAATACCTTGTAAGCCTGTAAAGCATAGAAGGAATGATTTACCTGATCAAGCCCCGCACCTCTCTGCCGAATTTCCACCAAAAAGGTCACATCTAGTTAATCTCAAGCCTTATATTGGGGCATCTAATACAGTGAGGACCTCAGTGAGTGAACTTCATAATTAAAGAATGTTTTATGATTATGGTTTTAAAATTGCATAACTGTGTAACTTTGATTTAATTAAAACATCCTCTCCCCTGGGACCACAGTTTGAATAACTCGCACAAGACTCAAGCAGTATATGCCACATGAGCTTTACAATTCAGACATTCCACAAATGGCCCTCTTTGGGAGACGCTGTGACCTTGAAAACGTCTCTGGAACTACACACAACCGGCAAATGGCTAAACTGTACGCTTCATTTACAACGTGTAGAAGCTTCTTTCCCCAGTATTCATTGTCCTTATACTAGACGTAAAGAAAGTCATGAACCACTGTAATCTCGTCGGTTAATCTAGCCGTCTTTATGAAGGCTGCTGAGGGTGAAACGTCCTTCGCTTTGAAGAAATGGGGCAATGCCCAATCCATATTAATGATGTGATTGCCAAGACATTATGAAGTTCCAGCACATTACAGATACCTCTCATCATTAGGTTTTGTCAAGCATAGAAGCACACATTTTACTAATATGAACAAACCATTCTTCACACACAAAGTCACGATTAGGGGAAGTGTCCAATCACGCTGCACTGAGTCATGGTTGAGCAGCCATTTGTCCATCACCACAGATGGCAGTGTTTTGCGCTGTCCAAGCTGACTGACAGCAGACAGGGATCCACTCTCCATTACTCAGAGCAAGTCAATTAGAATGGAATATTCACCTGTCAAAATACAAATGCAACGTTATGAGATGATGTACTAATTACACCAGTCAGACTATGTGCCTCATCGTTTAACAACGTTCAAGAGCGAAAGTCATTGGTATATGATGTCCCGTGGCAAAGTATCTTTGTTTGATGAGTAACCAGGGAGCTTGTAATGTGAGAGTAAATGTCCTTCAAATAACAGCCCCATTCAAACTGATAGATCTGCTGTTTTCCAAGATGCAGGGATTGTACAAAATATACTGTAAGTTAGTAACAAAAGTGATGATTAACTTTATTGGAGCAACTAGACCTTGGTAAAAATCCTTTCAGGTGAATGTGGCTCTATGTCCAGTCTCTGTGCAGCAGAAAGGAAACTTAAGCAAGAAATGTCCAGCCTCACTGGACTGTTAAAGCCTTCACTAAATAGCCATCCGCTTTTGGTTATTCAGACTCATCACTGAATTGACAAGGAGTTCGGTTCAATTCAATTCAATTTATTTTTGTAAAGGGCCCCCCCTAAATAGCAACACTATCATAATCTCTGAGGACTACATGAATGATGAGATTCACCAACACAGATCAAGAATCCAACTGGGATCAAACACAAGGAAAGGCAACAATAAAAAACTACATTGGTCCAAAAGGGGCAGATCACCAATGGCCCATCAATTTTAATTTCCGTACTGTACAGATGTCCTTTTAACTGTCAATGGCCTATGGAGCTGATCATAACCGTGAAAAACCAAGATGCAACCTCTCTTTGTTTATTCCAACATTTATTCCTTCCTCATTTCTTTTTTACTCTTGAGCATTATCTTGCCACTTCTCTACAACAAGCCCACGAGCAGCTTCTGGTCGCTTCCTCCTCTCTGAAGAGTCATGGTGCCCAGAGATCAAGGATGCCCATAGTGAGCGCTTATGAGACTGGCCTCATTAGGACCAGAAACTTTAAGTTTAAAGACTTCATCTGTGGCCACAAAAAGTCCTGTGAATCATGCTGGGATCACTTTAGCTGAGGCTCAGAGAGAGACAGTAACATCAAGGTTACAGAGGGAGGAGGTCTCTGATGTGAAGGCATTCCTCCCTCTGTGCTTCAGTACTTTTGCCTACAGTTGATGCAGTCCTCTTTCACACGCAAAAAAAACACTACCATGTTATTTTTAACCTTTGCATAGGTTGGGTTCAGACTTAAATTTCAGTGAGAAAGTCGAGCAATACAATTATATTGAAAGGAGATCAAAAAAGGTTAACAATTAAACAACCAATATACCCAGATTTGAATTTTGTAGTGATTAGTTATCACAAACCTGCCATATTATTATTGACTTTTTACAGCCAACATCCTGTCATATTTTGTTTTTAATGAATATCATCAACACTTCTAGACACCTTTTATGAGAAAAAGATTAGACCAGATGTTGACCAATGTACTGACAAAGGCAATGTGAAAGAAATGAGCAATCCATCCATCCATCCATTTCTACCCCTTTTTAATCCATTTCCTGGGTCAGGGGGGGTGGGGCAGTCATGAGATGCCACCCAAGTCTCATAGCACCACCCCTCACTGAACCTGCAGGTGGTGAGTCCACAGAGGACGTAGCTGCTCCTGACTGTGAGCATAGCCTTGAACTTTCAGTCGAGGCTTGTTTGGGGCAAAGTGTGGGTTAAGTGTCCTTGCCAGGACAAAACGACAGCAGTCATACAGTGGGAGTCAGGTGGGCAAGGTGTAGAGGTGGGAATAAGAACCCACGACCTTACAGCCATAGCAATCATTGACATTATTCATGTTTGACTGTTACCATAGTTACACTGGGACAATTTTCTACTGCCCATCCACTACAATTTAAACCATCTAGGCTCTTTGGAATGTATTCTTCAACCCTTTATCCATCTCCTTATATATAATAACAATGCCTGAAAGAGTAGATTAATTTAGTTTTTGCTAATTATCTAACAAAAATATTTCTAACAAAAATATTGAATGCCTTTTGTAGACATCAACCAAGACCATATCCTGGAAAGTAGCTCTGTGTGTTGCTGGTCCAGGTGCATATTACATTGTCTTTCACAGTTTTTCCAATGTGTTTTTTTACATAAATGGAAAATACATTCTTGAACTTGAGGTCCATTACTACCTCCTAACATCAAGGGACTGGGTCAAAGTCTTTTAAATTTCCTCCACAAGTGGCTATCCTATGGGCTCCAGAACAGAGGTACAAAACACACTCACTTTGTTCTCCCTCTTTCCCTCTCTTGCCAGAAACCTAAATTCCACTGGCATGAACATAAAGCAAGTGAGAAGGATAGAACACTAAGAGGCGCCACATCTGAAAGGTAAAACAACCCGGTCTAAGCCAGGGGACTCCAACCAGTAGCTCGGGAGCCAACCAGTAGCTCGCCAACCCGCCCACCCTTTTTTATTCCAGGTAGCTCACCAAAGATGTAGAAATAAACATATCCACTCATGTCCTCATAATTTACCCATAATAATATAATAATAATTAATTATTATAATTATTGTTGTAAAACTCCACTAACTTTGTGCACTAATAACAAATATGCAATGATGAATAATGACTGTACCCAATATCACAAATTATATCACCACATTTTCTCCAGGGCCGCTTAAAGGAGTAGCTAGCTGCCTTCATTGTCCCGGGAAAGTAGCTCTCTGGGTGAAAAAGGTGGAGAAACCCCTGGTCCACACAAATAAGGCCAAACCTATGTGTTGCTAACCTGTATTTTGTAAAGATAAGACATTATTAAAATTATCCCTTAACTGTGGTTTTATTAGGA